ACTTGGAAGGTGTTGATTAATCTATTAAGTTAAACACTACAAACCAAACTACAAACGGTTTGTACAAATGTTTCTAAAAAATAGTACATATAAATCAAGAGCATGCATGGTCTTTCACTTCAGTCATAAATAATTATAGATCTTCTCGTCAAATTACATTACATAGATACTTCCTTACCTTAAATTTCAATTTCTTTGTGAAAGTTATATGATTATATTTTATTAATTGAGGACGCTAAAATTAAAATCAATTATTTAATCCTTCGTGGATTAAATAATTGATTTAATCCACGAAGGATTTGATTAGGGAAGTATTAAAAAATTTGCCATTTTTTACTTATAACTACAAAATAGTCTAAGCCGTAGTGTTTGTATACTCTTTGGTACTAGCGTACCTAACAAGAATTCAAGTGTTCAAGTGTGGTTTAACTGTCACCCTTTTAAACTAGGTATTGCTAAATGTGCTTTTCGTTTGCATCTATAGACGTATGGAGTGTAGAGATAAGGAGAACAAACCCTGTATAAAAAAGTATCCGTAGAAAAGCGCTAAATAAGGGCGGCGCCACTATAGCTAGAGTGTAAATTTTAAATAACTTTTTACAATTTTTTACGGCACAGACTTCCATCATAATTCTTTTTATAATTATTGTTTTATACATTTTTATTTTATTTTTATATAAAATTTATATATATATTTTTAGATCTAGTTTTCATACCCTCTAGCTACTCGAGCGCTGATGTGGAGAGTTTTTGTATTATTTACTGCTTAGAGATGGACACATTTTCAACTATTCTCCTATGGGAGATTGTCCTCCTTACCCAACATGTATGGATATTTCATTTCGAAGGACTGGGCGGACCGCGCGTTAATATGGCTAAGTAATTTCGGTATAAAGGTTATTGTAAGACCATTCTATTGGTGCCATTTAGTCGGTCTTCGTGCGGTCGGCCGTCACGGAAACAATAGTTCATTTTATTAGGAAATATGCTAAGATGTGACGCAATGGATTGCGCGAATTTCGAAAAAACGCAAATAAAAATAATGTAATGTATTTTATATCACCAGTGCGTTAAAAATTTGTCACTGAAAAGCTTGCTTACGTAATTAAAATACTTTTTTTTTCAGATTTGTCTCAACTTTCAGCAAAGATAAAGCGAGGCTATGTTTGCCGTATGACTGTGCAAAATAACTTTGCAACGGCGCGCATTTATTATATTATAAGGTGGTAGCCAGTGAAAAGATGTAATTATAGTATTATAAGATTTTATTTATTAAGTCGATTAGTAATTTTATAACATCAAAATAATGAAATTGAAACGTGTTTTACGTACGATAAGAAAATAAAGTCAAAATACGTTTATTTACAGATTTTTTACATCCCGAGTGAAATTGAGTGTGGATTCGTGTCATTAAGCAAATACGTGATAACCATAATTTTCAAATAAATGTAGATATGAGTGTTTGTACGACGCACTTCAAAGCATATTATATATGATATAATATATTTAAAGCAATAACGTTCTGTAATTGATTTCATTATAAGTATCAAGAAAAGTTTTATAGATTGAAGATGTTTTTTACAAAGATATACAATAAGCATTTAAGCACTAAAAAAAATATTAATATTACTTATAATATACTATAATAATAACTTTATTACGTTAAACTTCTAGGATACTCCAATAACAGTTACTTATATAAAATTAAAGTTTTGTTTTCTTACTTTGCAACCTCAATTACGCTATTACAAGGATATGTCTTTTAGAACTCAAAAGTAATTCTAAAATGGTGCTAGTTTTCTTCTTCACGAAAAACGCTTCGTGCAAACGTTTTACATATTATGGTACATTCTCAGTGAATCAGTTTTAGCCAGTTTTTATTCGTATTAATTAACTAATTAAATAAAAAAAAGATGCAACGAAGCACGCTTGCTAACGGCTCGGCGTTTGATTTCAATATAAAAAAAATATTACAGAAACACTTCCTCAAAAGTTTTTCTCTACTTTTTTCCAAGCTCTGCTCTTCAGAGGTTACACCAATGAGCGTTGTACCGACTGGAGTCTGTCTGATCATATTGGTTCTGTATGTTGTGTTGCGCCTAAAGCAGGCCTCTGTCACTCTTGCTACCTGCGTGAAATAATTACCTAAAATCGCGAGTCACCGACGGTGTAATACTCAGTCGAGGCTAACAGGTTGTAGGCGATTGATGATTTTAACGCCGTTTACGTAAATAGTTTTATGTAAACACATGTTATAATTTTTGTTTAGTGTTTATTATATTTAATTATAGGATAAAATAGTTCAAATTTTTAACGTGATTTAAAAATAATATATGTGTATATTTTACCTATCTATTTGATAAATTATAATGGCAAAGCTTCGAACCTACTATAGTTGTTGCGTGGATGGATGCTTGATGAGCAAACAAAAGGATTCAGATATATCATTTTATATATTTAGGTACATTTATTTCTTTAATTTTTTTTTCTTAAATTAATACTTATAGCAAAAAAAGAATTAAGTTAATAATTTAAACACAGAAGTAATACCTAAGTACTTTATTTCAAAACTTAATAAACCTTTATCGCTGCGCGCGAGTGTCCGTAAGTACATTTACTTTGCATCTTTTCCCCTTCCTACATCACGGCTCTTTTTCCGGTGTTAGTAAGAGCTGTCAAGAAAGAGTAAAAATACAGTATGTATATTAATTTATTTAATTTACAATTGCGAATCGCGATTTAATAAATCGCTCGGAAGAAATAGGTAAGTAGTGTAAACAACAAATAAACCCGAAATACGATTCCTAAATGAAATGTGTCTGTATTCTAATAGTTAAAAATCTTGTAAACAAAGTTTTAATTTCAGTGCTTTGTGTTATTATAACTTAAAATATTTTAATTACAAAAGATGTGAAAGTTACCTACTTAGATTGTGAAGTAAATTTCAACTAAGTTTTGTAATAAAGTACGTAGGTATTACTCCTGTAGATAAATTATTACTTAATTAGTTTTTGCTATAAGTACCTAAAATGTAATTAATTCACCTACTTTTCACGTAACTTCCTACTAAAATCCTTCAGTAACTTAAAAAAATAATATTACCTTTTGTTGGTCCTTTCGCATTTATCCACGCAACAGTTATAGTAGGAACGACTTTTTGCCATTACAATTAATCAAATATGTAATATACATAATATAATATTTAAATTTTAAATTACATTAAAACCTTTTCAACTATTTTATCCTACAATTAAATATACTAAACACTAAACAAAAACTACGTAAACAGCGTTAACCACTTCACATCCAATCGCCTAAAACGCGCTAGCCCCGACTGCGTATGTTACCCTAAGTGACTCGCGATTGTAGGTAATTATTTCACGCAGGTAGCAAAAGTGACACAGTACTTCTAGAGGATATGAAATGAACTTAGTAGTTATCGACGGAGTGAAGTGTGCCGAGTTGAGAAATTTAATATTTGTGGTGACTAGAGTATGATGAAACTGCATTATTTAAAACCTCAACTACTTACTTTAACCTCAACCTCAACTACTTAGAAATAGTCGCCGTATAACACGTTTAATGATTTTAAAAATAAAAATTTTGAAAACAATTAATATAATTATTATAAAAAGAATTATAGTGTCTGTGCAATAAAAAAATATAAAAAGTTATTTAAAATTTACACTCTATCTACAGTGGCGCTACCCTTATTTAGCGATTTTCTGTGGACACTTTTTTGTACAGAGTTTGTTCTCCTTATCTCTACACTCCTATTCATTCTATAACTATTGAAAAAAAAACGAAATCAAACTTTTAGATAAGTTTTGCGAAGTGTTCAAATAACTCTTGATATTGTTATAAATTTTTGTAATTACTAAAAAAGATTTTATTTTAAAAATCTGTCAAGAAACCGAAATGCAACATGGGCCACCGTTGACCCGGAAGGGAGTAGCCATAGCGTTTTTTCGATATAAAACTCAAAGACAAAAACAATCGTCTGTCACTACGAAACTTACACATAATATTATTTAAAGCAATAAACCAACAATTTCACACATCCATAAATACATTAGAACACTATTGCTCGGTGACAGAGACAACTCGGATCAGTCGCTTGACCGATCTGTATATTCTATGTTGGTAAACAAACCCGAAACAACACGACCGTTCTTATTCATTTCTTTAAGTTTAAAAAGAAGTAGCAATAATGTGATTAAAATTACTCATATATGAAAGGTAACACAATTGTTTGTAAATTTCATATGACAGATCTCTTTTTGCAGCAAGAAACTGTACAATTCAGCATTTTTGTAGGACTCTATTATCTTGATGTTAATGTGTTATATGCGACTCTAAGCTTCATCTTGTCTTGAACGATTCAGGCGCGCAACTAGATTCAGTCTAATGACTCTAGTAACTAGTGAGTAATGCGCCTGCAACTAGTTTAATGTACACATAGGACCAAGTGGACTTATACTTTTACAGAGGGGACGCATGGACCATTTTCTTCATGCCATGTTATACAGGCATTGATATAATTGAACGACGTATCTAGTTATATTTTCGCAGTAGTAGTTGGTGCTTCCAATATTTCTGTAAGGCTTTCCTATTCTTGCATTGTCATCATTTGCTCTGTTTCTTCAGTGTTCCCTTCAAGGCAAGAATTTAAATCTACACCGCTTATCTCTTGTCCAGACTCCATTTGTAAATAAACTTGTCCAGACTCCATCTTCTTCACGCGTACCTCTATCTTTTTTTCTTAAGATCGTGCACAGTAGCACGCCCAACTCCATACTCTTTCGCCAATTCGCACAAATTTTCTCCACTAGGTAACTTTTTTAAATCTCAATTTTCTGTTTCAATGCCTAAGTTTTATGTTTTCGTTTGCTCGACATCTTGATCTACGCTATTTTGATGACAAATCACTACTCGCGCAGCAGAAGAGTGTTTAAACGAGAGCGCCCATACGATTTCATATGCGTAAGCTTTCGCTCATACTATTCAGACAGGGAGCGGCGGAAGAGACAGGCGCGGGTGGAGTTAGCGGTGGAGTAGGGTGCCGAACTACCGGACGTGCCGGTGTACTGAAGTGCCGGAGCAGGAAGTGAGACTACTGTATATGCAAAATAATTTTGTTGTTGAAAGAATAAACGCTACTTTTATATTTCGTTTTTATTAAAACACTGTGTAATTTTATTTCGTTAGCTCAAAGTATTCCTGATGAATTTTAATTTTACAATATGTATCTATTGCCTATATTTCTTGGTAACTCAAAAACAAACGTTATCAATATAGCAGTATTGGATTGGCAACTGCCAAATTTGACCGACAGATAATATATTGGTTTTTGACGTCAAACTTCTTTACGCACACGACGTGGGGATAGGGTTGCCAGACTTCCGGATAAAGCCGGACACACTCAGGCTTTTTGGTTGCGTGTCCGGCCAAATTAGACGGTGTCTGGTAGGTGTTTGTTAGGCTTTTTAAATTTGACAATTTCTTTACATTTTTCATATACTTACATACATACTATAACAATTATTAAAATTAATATGTAATGAATATTGAAAAATAAAGAAGACTGATTTATTAAATTGTTTTTTTTTTATTTCGTTAGAACTTAAGATTTTATGGTAAATGATAAAAAGTATTGTTTTACTTTAAAAAAATGTCTTTTACTAAGACAAAAAATCAGGGCGTCCGGCCTTTTTACCAAAATGTCCGGCTGAGCTCACTAGTATGTCCGGCTTTTCGGTTTTAAGGCCTGGTAACCCTACTTAGGGAGTAAGCTGGCGAACGCGTGACGAAAGCGTTACGAAAGGTGTGATCGGGCGAGGCAAACAGGAGTTGAGTGGGGGATATAAGCAGAGAGAGCAGTGCACGCGCACATTTTCCTTTACTCTTTCTGTCATAACCAGTTATTTTTCGTAATTTTATTTCGTTTTAAATTTTTTTTTATTAATTAATATTTTGTTCAATACATTAAATATTCTACGTTTAAAGTGAATAAAATTGTAAATTCATTCTACAGTCCATGTTTTGTGAATTTTCGGGTGAATTATGAAACAACAAACAAATTATGGAAGAAAGCCCATAATAAATTTAAATATTTGTCGAATATATATATATATACATAATATATATATATATATATATATATATATATATATATATATATATATATATATAGCTAAAGAAGTTTTATTTCAGTCGTGTGGTCATAAGCACCTTACTTAGCGAAAATAAATACCTAGGGTTTCAAAGTTAATGGTTTTTTAAAAATATTAGATGTTTAAAAGCTGGTACGTAACTTTTGTCCTTTGTATTTTCACAATATTGGGATATTATGTTACTGTGTACTTAATCAACAAAATGATAGACGAAGCGCTTCTTACACATTGAAGTATAATGTACTTTAATACATATTAGGTACTACAATGTGCGTACTTTACAAATGATGTATAATACAATGTACTTATGCCAAATTTCACTACCTATTTTCTTGATAATATTATAGAGTTACATACCTACCTATTGTGATACCTTTATTTGAATGTAAATAAATAAAAAGAAAAATGTAAGAACTGTACACCTGCTTAGGAATTAGAAATAGATATAAGAAACTCCTAAAGGGACAAAAGTAATAACTAATTTACTACTTACACTTATGTAAACTGCGTTGTAGGTAGCTCAGGAACTTAATGTGAAACCTACATAATATATATGAAGGACATGTTAATTAACTTTGACAGACATTTAAAACAAAGAGTATGAATTTATTAGATATTACAATGCACATGATTTGTGGTTACTTTAAAACCAGGGACACATCCGATAGATATATGGGCGATATTTACTTGGCGATTACACCACTACATTACTCATTTCGCACTTAAAATGTTTATGTAAGAGCATGGTTGTATTTACTATTGTATAGTTTCTGGTTCAATATAAAGTTCCATCGTATCCAAGATATTATAATTCACCACATGTCTATCATCCAAACCAACTTGCGAAATTCTTTCACCACAAATTTAATTAACTTTTATGTTAATTATGAGGTGTCGAAAATTAATGAATTTATGTGACCCAATTTATTTGTCTATATTTTTCTTCGTTTTTATAAAACTGAATGGACAAATGAACTCACAGTCCGCCTGATGGTATGAGGCTACTGCAGTCCTTGTCACTAGCAACATATTTCAAATGAGGAAAGCTAAGCTGAGGTTTGAATCCTACATGTGATCTGGATGTTTGTCCAAGTAAAATTTATTTATGTTAACTCCTGCCTCCATGATACAGGAGAAAATCCTAGTGTGGTAATGTTTTTCTATAAATTGTAGATTTATACCTGGTTTCTATAATTACATATTATTAAATTAAAGGAAAATTGCATTCTTGAATATAGATATTGGGCTTATTATTTCCACACATGAACACATGATTATCATCAATATCATGTTAGGTATTGATCTATTTTATAGTAGTCTTTAAATTTTAAATGATTGTTGCACTATATTTTCAGAAAAATTATTTTAAAATTGAAATTACTCAGATTTACTAGATATAGCCAGTCTACCGCAAGTAGAAATCACTAATGTATCTACCTTAACCCGTTTTACAGGAGACAGCCTGTTTTTTGTTTAATAAATTTATATTCTTCCACACATACATGTATTTATAAACAAACAATGGAAGTATTATATTAATGCCATGGAAATTAAATTTTTAACTTAACTTTTAATTTTTGTTGATGTATTAAAACTATAAACCATAAAGTACTTAAATAAGATGCAAATATAGTATAATAAAACATTAATTAGCATTTTAGGCAAATAAACTCTCCAATTTTTTAAAGATAAGGTATTTTATCTAATACATACATGTAATGCTCATAAAAATAATTATACTTTAAATTTTTAATGTGATCTGTCTTAAGTGGAAATAGTAGTATAGTTTCCATCTTTGTTTGAAATAAAAGGTAAAAGATAATGGAGAAACAGAATTACAAGAAACTATTTATGTATTATATAAATAATATACATATTTATTTATTTAATAACGAATAACTAATAATTTTGCAATGCAAAATTCAGATTTAATTCATGTAGGCTATACATTTAATATGGAATTTTTTGAGTTTCATGTCATTAAATTCTTTAACATCTTGTAAAAATGTAATGAAACAACTTATAAATGCTTATAAATATAAACACCAAAAATCCAAGAGTTTGATCCTTTCTTGTAAATTATTTTAATGTAAAACATACAAGCTATCAAGCTCACTTTCATTTACGATCTGTAATAACACTTGTAAATCTTCTAGATTTGAAATGTACTTCGGTGCACCTATAAACTCAACTGATTTTCCTTCTAACTCAATACTATACTTTAAGTTTTTTGGGCATTTTACAGACTTACAACATTTATTATTTATCATTTTTTTGAATATAACATGAGTTACACTTACACAGTTAAAAATGGAGATACTATTATCAGTTAGATCAGTTTTAGATACGGGAACTTCTTCAGTATGATTCACATCTGTTTTAACTTGTTCTACATTATTATCGGAAATAGTCTCATTGTTTTCATTACCTTTACATTCAGCAACATTGTTATTCACAGGCTTGTCATCCTTTTGTAGATTTTCATTTGGTAAGTGTTCTTCAATTCCTTTCTGCAGCGCCTCATCAAGTATGGAAGGGCTGTGTGGGTTATCCACCTCTTCTGCAGTATTTGCTTCTTCAGATTTTGTGGGCGCTTCATCGTTTAAAACTTTAGATTTACTCTCAGGTATATTATTTAATTGATCCATATCTTCAATTAACTTACTTACATCTGTACTGTCAACTTCCATGGGTGTTGGCTCAGCATCTTTATTTTCCAATTTTGACTTCCCAAGAAGCATTGCTTCGACATCACTTGATTCTAAATTACCTTTGAATTGTTCTGAACTACTGAGTTCATTTTCTTTAGGAGTATTTTCTGAAGTATTATCATTTAGGATGTCCATAATTGAAGGAAACTCTTCAACCTTAGATTCAAGCACATCAGATTTTGGTTTCTCAATAGGTTTTTCATTGTACATTAAGTCTTCCAATTCAGCTGCTATGCGGTCATAAACTTTATCATCTTTGGGTTCTTCATTTTTTGGAAAATAATCAATACACCATTCTTCAGAGGGTAAAATGCTCTTATTTATGTTAGGCAAGAGATCAATTAAAGATATTTTAGTTTTTAATTCATGATTGTTATTATTTGTTACGTTAGGCATTGTGAATACAATGCCGTACTGTTTTAAATTAGAATTCAATGTTTTCTCACCTTTATCATAATTTATTTCTTTTACTAATAATTGATCCTTTTTCAGACAATTATTTTCTTTAAGTATGTTATTTGTCTGTTTAAGCAAGTCATTCTTCACTTTCACAGTTTGATTAAACTTCACCTCAAGCCCATCTCCTGTTAGTTCCTTGTTACTCTTAGTTTTTTTTGGGATTTGTATACTTTTTAAATTTTGAACAGCTTTTTGGATGAGTGCAGCTTTTGAGTTATGTGCTGCTTTAGGGGTCTGTGCTGCTTTAGGGATTTGTGCTGCCTTAGGGGTTTGTGCTGCTTTAGGGGTCTGTGCTGCTTTAGGGGTCTGTGCTGCTTTAGGGGTCTGTGCTGCTTTAGGGGTCTGTGCTGCTTTAGGGGTCTGTGCAGCCTTTGGGGTTTCAGCTTTTGAAGCCTGTGCAGCTTTAGGTGACTGTAAAGCTTTTGGGGTTTGTGCCACTTTTGGGGTCTGTATAGTTTTTGCAGTCTGTGCAGCTTTTAGGGCATGTACAGTTTTTGGAGTTTGCATAGCTTTTGTTATTTGTAAGGATTTTGTGGCTTGTACATCTGTTGGGATTTTTAAAGCTTTTGGGGTTTGTAACACTTTTGCAGGGTGTTGCTTATAAGTATTTCTACGTACAAGAACCATTCCATTTTCGTTGCATTTTAGTCTAGAATTTGAATTAGATGCGTTAGACTCCACAGCCTTTTTCGCCTTAGGTGACGTATTACTTTCGTATTGAATTTTGACTTTGGTGAATTTACCAAGAATTTTAGCAAAGTCCATTCGAGTAACAAGAACTTTACAGTCTCGACATTTTCCTTCTCTGTACAAACGTTCTATATTTCTTGACATTTTGTAAATACGCCTTCTCTTACTTTCTCGTCCTTTAAACGAAACCATCATTAATTTATACAAGTTTTATCACAAATAAGACAAATGTTTTTCTATATGCATTTGGACAAAATTGTAAAAAAACGTAGCCACATTTCCCGCGCAGATGATATCACAGAAAGTATTTAGGGTAGCTATTGAAAACTAACACCTTCACAAAATATTAGGTATTACTTTTGATATAATTTTCAAACCTTTATTTTAGAACGTGATTTGAATTTGTTATTCACAAAACTAACGTTTCAGGGAGAAACAGTACCACATACAAACGAAAATGGCGTCTCGATAGTGATGCGAATGACTTTCATAACTTAAAAATGTAGTCGATGTAAAATAATAAATGTAATAATATGATTTAAACTATTCTTATTCATAAATTAACTTTATTCTATTTGGTCCATGAAATATACTTTTTTAAAACAATTTTTCATTTACTGTGGTAAAAAGAAAGATTACCGCTACACTAGTAAGGAGCATAGATAATATATTACACAAGCAAGCTGGCCAGGCAGACATTATTCTGTACCGACGACCACTTTTATCCTACAACAAATCTTTAAAGACGCAATAAAAAATATTAAGTGTCACTTATCGGGATTAAAACTATCCTATGTCTCAGGTTAAACCTCGTTGAAATCAGGTTCTAAATATTCTAGAAGGAAACATTAACCCTTACATTTTTCGAATCAATTAATTTCCTCCTGTCTGTAAAGTAGTAAAGTCTGTCAATGGAGGAGGTGTAATTCCTCATTTCTTAGTGACGCGCTCGAGTAGCAGAAAAAGACGTGGATGAACCCATTATTTCTCTTGACTCATGGAGTTATTTAACATAAGTACACAATTATACAAGTACAAATAGCCATCAACAATTATTTTTAGAGGTGAAGACAATATCAATATGTCAGATATATTATTAATAATATATCTGACATATTGATATTGCATTGCATACAGCAGCTTAAGGACAGCTATATTATGGTTGTAGCACGAATGGGTCGGCTCGACCGGGGAAGGAAAACGATCACACAGAATAACAGCGTAAAATAGCAGCTTAATGCTGCTGTGATTCGTATGGTGAGTGTAGAGAACCGGAGATCCGTTTTACTAGAATCCATTTCTTTCCATCTTAGTCGTCAGGGGTGATAACACATCTGCATTTTGATTCTTAATCGAAGTTAAATGTAGATTTCTATGGGCCACAACATTCACTCCATCAGGTGGACTGTTTGCTCGTTTGTCACCCTTATTCTAAAAAAAAAACAGCATTTGAACCTACAGCGCCCAGCATCGCTCCCAATCTGTACTGATGTTGCTGCTATACAATTAGTGTTTTATGTTCAGAAAAATATAGATGACAGGCGAATTTATATATAGTGAACGTAAACATAGTTCTATTAAAAATATGATAAGTAATTTGGTTATAGCCGACAATTTTTGAACGCTTTCTGCCATTTCCAATTTATATTTTAACTCAAAACAAGGTGATTTATTTCGGATTTGCAATAAAAACATTAGGCACTATGCAACAGTACTTTATTAGGCCATTGTTCATCGGGACTGCTTACTTGATATAATTTTTTCTAAGACGTCATGAATATATAGCAAGCTAGTGTTAGTCTTTAGAAGGTGGCACCGAAAGGCCAAAATTGTACACTTGTTCGAAAGACGTAAAAGGAGGTGGCCAAATTTCTATAGGAGCTGGACTTGACTTTTTTTTCACGTCCCAAAACAAACTATTGTTAGATTGGTTTGTTTTCATGTTGTAAACATAATCACGTTTAAAAATAATATCTAAATAGCCATGATTTTTTATAATAACGTCAACAATATTTTTAAGGCTGCATCAACAAATACCTTGTACTTTTTTTTATTTATTGATCATTTCGTTAAATTATAACTTTGGTATGTCAAAATTACAATCAATTCAAATGATATTAGATTACACTAGATTATTAAAATTACAAAATAAAATACATCTACATTTCACATGTCAAGCAAGTCAGAAAATGAAATGAACATTTCATATATTCTTCTATATTATAGAAAGCGTGATTCAAAAAGTATGTTTTTGTCACTTGTCGAAACGCGTTTAGTAATTAAATGCAATTAAGAAATAACAAGACTTCAATTATTGAAGTCTTGTTATTTCTAAAAGCAATTTATTGTACATTTTGATTTTTAACGAAAAACCTTGCTTGGACGCTTTATCCGACTGCGATGTAGCCTAAAATTGTAGTTAGCGATAAGTGAGGAGGGTAATCAGCGATCTCGTTTCCATTTATTTAGATTTCTCTAAAATAATTTTATTACCCAATAATAGAACATCTCTCAAAGCGCACCCTACGTATGTGCCGAAAGGTACTCTGTGGTATGTGCATCATACTCTTAGAGTTCGATGTCAAAAAGGGCCATCTGATCTGTCAAACTGTCTCGTGAAGTTGACCGTATCGACAACCACTATGACCGTATATAACTGGTTGCACAGTATGAAGTGTAAACAACAAGGATGGCGTAATTATTATCACACGAAGTCTTTCCCGAAAGATTTCAAGGCTTTTTTGTAGTTTGACAATTTCAATTCTAGCCGAAGAGAGTTAGTCGCTAGATACCTACTGGTTTTCAATCTTCAATACTAAAGTTACATATGTATTGAAAATTCGATTAATGGTAGTTTACGGGAGTAAATGAAGTGTAATAGTAGAATTTAGGAGTACTTTAATGAAATAAGTAGGCTAGACAAAATTACTTTTTATTCATCATCTTCTTACAACTACAACATCATGGAGTGATGCTGGCACTGGCGATATTGTCGGCTGACGCCTGGTCCACCCAAGGTACCACACAAGCATCATAACATGTGCACAGCACCCAACTGTTCTTCTACCAACCAAACAATTACAGCAATACTCTATTATAGCTTCCCTTCCAGCACATTATTTTCAATTAATATATAAACATAATATACTTTTCTGGAAATGTGTCTGGATTTGATTTTGTCTCTTATAAGTGAATTATGTCCACTTCCTCTCAAACAATACTCTATTACATTAATGTTTTCTCTGCTTATTTCAATTCGATACCCTCCGTGTAACCTAACATGTTCACTATAATAGGACCTTGCGTGTTGAATCTGATATGTTCCTAGGGCAAATAATATAACTTCACTATATTCTAGATGGGGGAATATAATATTAGTATTGGAATGACCTGTAATACTAGTAAAATCAGATGTTCGTCTATTCATATTCATACTATTTATAAAATCAGATAAATTATAATTTAATGGAAATCCTTCTCTAATCACATTTATGATTTGCTCAGCATCATTCCTGTTTTTTAACTCCTTGTGTGGCGACCGGCCAGATTCTGGCCGATGGTTAATTACGCGCGTCTGGCAAGCGACCAGATTCTGGCCGATCCGCGACTGCGTATTTGGCGGGTAAAATAACCAGCGACAATGATTTTTATCACACTTTTACTTATAGAAAATTATAAACCAAAGAAAGAGGATGCGATACAAAGCTACTAAAGTACTACAATGTTTAGAAATTTCGAATAAATAGCCTGTGTAGCGTCGCATGCGAACGTTACTTTCATGTGGTCATCCGTCCCGGTTTTTGTCCTTATTTTTATTCCTAAATCGAACAAATAGTGAAGTTAGGTGCTATTCAAACATAGAAGGGTTAATAACCAACAGTTTTTAATTCATAATTTAGGGATATGTATCCTTTTTATAAAAAAAATTCGAACATAAACGGTCGTTATACTTACTTACCTTACATTTATCTCTATTGTTGATTAAAAATACATTACATTCTTTTTAGAAATGAAACTTTGTCTAAATTAAGGACTTGAGCCATACTTAATGTTAAAATTATCGTACACCACTTGACTTGCTCATTTCTCAAAATAAAACGAACAATATATGCTATTTTTTGTGCGACGCTTGGGTTGCCGTTCATGTTTTAAGATTGTAAAAAACTTTTGGGGTAAAAATATATAGGAATGTGTGGTTTTTTTTGCTTTTTTATTATAAATTAGTGTATATTGATGAAAATAAATTACATTTATTTTATAAAAGAATAATTTTTATGTTTAATTTTCACAAATTATGCACAAAATACTATTAAAAATTTGGTTTTCCAACTTTGAAATTGGCTCAATAAAATCTATTATGTTGTATTCAACTAAGATATCTACAGAGTAATAGCAAATAATAGAACAATTCATATGACATAAGTTTTATAAATAGCTTCCATACAATATTTTAGAGAAATTACTACTTTAATTGCCACGCGCCGATATCGCAAAATTACCTGCTAAGGCCCTAGCAGACGCGACATATTTGCAAAATGGCCGGCCGGCAGACGAGGGGTTAATCGAACACTGAATTTATTTAAAAGGCTTGCAGCTATGGAAAACATATGCATCATATGGGCCAAAGCAGTTTACAATGTAGCCATTAGGTGTCACCAGCAAAAACAGTTTTAACAATTTTTTGTATTTATGTAAGGAATATGTGTACTTTTGGAGCATATAATTGGAACTTTTGTTTATAAAAATATATGTCTCATAACATATAATTATCGCATTATCATTATTTTTATTATAAATTGCATTTGGAATAATTAAATTGTGTTGTAATAATTGCTCATGGGATATGTGTTCAATTCCCAGATTTCTAGGCACAAAATCTTGTACCAATATTTCCCTAACCTTATCCATTAATTTTTCTAATGTTCGCCTTGGAACCATTAATAACTGAGATAACCGGTCATCTGATTCACCAGTTCTCATCTTCATTAGAAGAGCACCTAAACCTAAAATGCCTCTATTTGTTTTTATAAGATGCGGCTTTCATATAATAAAAGTTCAAATTGTTGTTTATTCATTCCGAGCCAATAATGAAACAAATGCTCATCAAATCTTTCAACACTTTCCATACTCGAGAAATCAAGAAA